CTGTAAAAGGAATTTGGGGGGCATACCAATACTCATAACTGGAAATGATCTCAAACGATTTTGTGCTGTGCCACATTTATATGTGTTTTAAAAGCATTAAGCAATATCGCAGAGCGTTTATAGAAACATACATATGTAGAAAAAGTACAAAAAAATGCTAAGGAATGATACACACCAATTTCAAGATAGATGTTGGGAGGAGGGAAAACGATGGATGAGATTTGGGGCAGAGCTTTGCCTGTATCTGTGACATATGATTTCTTAAAAAGAAGAGTGGGGAGGAGAAGAGAACAAATCTTATATTTAAATGAGTTGTGATATTATTTTTGTACCCACACCTGCAACTTTATACCTATTTTAGTATAAAATTAGCTTTATTAGACTACTATGAGAATTTGTGACCCAGTTTTCCATAGTGAGCACTCAAAATTTAAGTACCCATGGAATTTAATTTCCCTTTAATTCTTAAGAATTATCTAGAAAGGGGCTCCTGGGTAGCTCAGTTGGCTAAGTGTTTGCCTGCAGCTGGGGTCATGATCACAGGATCCTGCCCGGTTCCCTGCTCAGTGGGGTGCCTGCTTCTCCCTGCCCCTCAGCCACTCCCCTTGTCCATGCTCTCTAATAAATAAATAAATAAATAAATAAAATCTTAAAAAAAGAATTATTTAGGAACTAGGTAGTAATTATACCTCAGTAAAATTGGGGAAAAAACCTGGGGACAGTATGTAAACTCAAGATTTTTTTAAATTTATTTTTATCATAAATGTCTCATTTATTAGACAGTAACAGGTTTTAAATAAGAATAACAAGTGATCATTGAGGCACTAAGTAACAAAAAATATAGTAAAAAACACAGGCAACTATTACTTCAAAAATTGTAAGTCTTCATTTAGTTCACTTTTAACAGCTATAAACACTATGTGGGCCCCCTGGAATCAATCAGTATCAAAAATGACAAGTTATTAATAGACACACAAAAAAGTTTAATATTCAGAGAAACTACTACTTTGTAAGGTCCATAAAAATTAGAATATTTCAATTCCAGGATAATTCATTACTCATTTCTAAGAAATAATTGGTACACAATGAAAATTCTTTGAGAGCCAACACATGTACAAAATTAAAGCATATAACTAATTAAATGTATAAATTCTCCCTTCCAAAAAACAATCACTTTCATACATTGATTACCAATGGATATGCCAGCATTATGGCTAAACCTCCCAGTTTTTCCTGAATATAAGTAAACAATAAATACACATCATTTAAAATGCATATGTTAAAAATCTAAACCACTTTAGAAAGTTGATGGGAATTGACTTTATCTTTTGGTGTAGGTAGGGCTAAACTCAAGATTTTTGAAAAAGCAAAAATCTACTGGGAATCTGTTGTAACGTAGTATGAAGCTCGTTGTGTGTGTGATAATACAAAGATCCAAGGAACAATAGTATGAAGTGGAAAATTTGAAAAAAGACGGCACCATGTGAACATTTTAACATTTGTTAAGCTGGAATAGTGGAACTAATGCATCTATTTTATTATTTCCTGTAACTCTGGAATATTTCATAATTTACATTTTTAAATTTTAAGCAAGCAAATAGGCCAGAATAGGTGAAATAAAAATAGCAAATGTTGAAAATTATTAAAGTTGGGTAATGGGTATGTTTCCTCATTCTACTGCTCTTTTCTATTTTTTTAAGTTTGACATTTTTGTGTAAGTTTGAAATTTCTCATAATAGAAATTTTTATTAAAAACTAAAAATTAGGGGCACCTGGTGGCTCAGTTGGTTAAGCATCTGCCTTTGGCTCAGGTCATGATCCTGGGGTCCTGGCACAGAGCTCCACATTGGGCTCCCTGCTCAGCGGGGAATATGCTTCTCCTTCTCCCTCTGCTGCTTCCCTCCACTGCCCCCCCCCCCCTTCTTGTGCACACATGCATGCACGCTATCTCTCAAATAAATAAAATCTTTTAAAAAACCTAAAAATTTTGGGGCACCTGGCTGGCTTAGTTGGAAAGGCATGTGACTCAAACTCACGATCTCAGGGTCGTGGCTTTGAGCCCCACAATGGGTATAGTGATTTCTAAAAAGCAAACTTTTTTTTTTAACTAAAAATTAAGACTTTATACATTTTTGTGTGTAATTTGCACATGCACAGAAAGTTTCTGGAAGGTCAAAACAACAAACTGTCAATAGAGATAACTCTTCCTTGCTGCCTCAAACAGATAACCATTTTTACAGTTTTCATTTAGAGTTCTCAGGTTCTCAGAGTCCTGGACCCCAAGCATATTATTTAAGGTTTGTGGAGGGGTAAGAAGATGGCCGGGAGAACAACAGTGAAACAGCTGCTGCCCTGGTCCAGTAGGAACCAAACAGGGCTGGGTTCAGACAGTAGTAGTGGGGATGGAGAGAAGGGACTGATCAGGGAACTATTTTAGAGGTAGAATTCAGGATGCAAAGATCTGGCTGAGGGAGTGGGCATGATAGATGTGAGAGGCTGTAGGGATGAGGAAATGGAGTTGAAATACTCAAGTCCCAAGCTTGGGAGATGTTGAGAAGAAGCTTTAGGCTATGCCAAATTTAAATTCAAAGGCAAGTAGCTGGATCTGAAAAAAACAAAAACAAAATAAGCTCAAGGATACAAAGAGCAGATCTGTAGTTGGGTTAGGGGAGAATGGGTGAAGGGGGCTGAAAGGTATTAACTTCCAGTTATAAGATAATCCTGGAGATGTACAGTATGGTAAGTAATATGCTGACTACAGTTACCAATACCGTACTGCATATTTGAAAGTTGCTGAGAGTAAATCTAAAGGTTCTCGTCACAAGAAAAAAAAGAAAGAAAGAAAGAAATATATATATTTAACTATGGAAGGTGATCCATGTTAACCAGACTTACTGAGGTGAAAATTCCCAAATGTATACAAATATCAAATCATTAGTTGTACACCTGAAACTAACATACCGTTACATGTTAATTATGCCTTAATTTAAAACAAGTTCTTTTTTAAATCCACAGTCAAGGTCATCAGAGCTGGCGGGCAAGGAAGAGAGGGTGGGGCTGGAGGTGAGGTGAGGCGAGGTTTGCTGCCCTTGCCCGGAAGAAAAGCGCTCTCAGAGGCAGATTTGGAGGCGCTCACAGAGACGATGAACCGTCCCGAGCACAGGACTGCACCTCATTACCGTGCAGGTTCTTTGCCTCCCTCGGTGCCCCCTTCCCACAGAGGGGAGAAAGCAGGGGTGGGGCCGGGGGTTAAAACGGTCCCTTCTCTTCTTCGAAGAGAGCGCCCCTTGGCGGGAGGGCCTGGTCTCAACGCACTCGACTGCCAGTCCCGGGAAGACCCAGCAATTCTGGCCGCAGACGGGCCTCGCCATTTCCCTCCCTTGTAGCGCCCGGCGCCCCAGGCCGCTCGTCCGGAAAAGGGGTGCTCTGTTCTCCAGGGTCTGAGCAAGAAAGCCGGACGCCCGGGACAGCCTCCTCTCCCGAAGGTAGCGAGGCTGCGGGTAACACGAGAGGCGTTCGGTGGGAGCCCAGTCGTAGTGTGCGCCGCCGGCTTTCGCGCCAGCCGGAAGTGCCCCCCCCCCGAAGCAAAGGACTTCCGTTGGGTCTGCAGGGTAGTCGGAATCAGCATGGCGGTCTCTTTGGCCGGGAAAAAAATCGTGTTTGTCACGGGGAACGCCAAGAAGCTGGAGGAGGTGCTGGGAGGGCGCGGGAGCCCGGCCAGTAGACGGCTGGGGAGTAGCGTGTGGTAGGGTCCGCGGGGGATCGGGCGGAGAAGCGGCCTTCCGGGCGGAGGGGGCTGGAGAGGCAGACCCGCGCGTGTGGATCGGGTTGGGCCGCACTGAGACGACCGTGTGTGCGGAGTGGGGCTGGCGGGTGGTTGGCCTTAATAGAATTCGGGCGTTGACAGAACCAGGCTCGCGAGCTCGGGAGCTGCGGGAGCCGCGGGAGCCAAAGGAGTGCCGGATCCTTAGTACCTAATCTATTAGGTTAGACCCCCAAACCGGGACTCTTGACACCCCTCTCGAGCTGATCCAGACCCCGCTGCCGACCTAGGCGGGGCAGGGGCCGGACAGAGCGTGGAACAGGCAAGCAAACAGCCATCCACGCCCCACGGGGAAATGGGGATGATTTGGAAGGTCGGTTTCACAACGCAATGGGGAGGAGAAGTGAAGAAGACAATAGATCCAAAGTTCCTGCCTCTGGGAATTTTGTGTCTAGTTGTGAGAGTTCTGCAGGTGGATGGATAGCCTTTGGCTGCAAATAATAGAGACACACAGGGAGCTCATGTCAACCACCGGGAGGCTCTTCTGGGAATACAATGTTACGATATCTCACAAGACAAGGAGTCTCCTGAGGGCCTGTCTTGTCCTCGTAGTTCTCCGTGGATGCTCATCCCTTTCCTAGTAAACGTTTTTCTGCTTTTTTCGTTCCGGGTGGAGGGAGCAGTGAGCCTTCTGACATACATTAGCTCTCATTAGCCTTGCTTGGGTCAAAGGTTTGCCCCCTGCTCAGTTAGCCATGGCCAAGGAGGTGGGTCATGGTGCAGAATCAGGGTGACATCCACTAGATATGTTGAGGCATAGAGGTGAGACCCAGTCATTAGGGGACCGACCCTTCATTTGTCCACAGCATAGGGAATGATGCACTTCTGTGCTAGTACAGGGTGTCCTCAAGAGCAAGAGCCCTGTGCTGATAAAAAGTTTGGGATCCTAAGGCCAGGCGAGTCAAACAGACAAGCAGTGCCACCCTGGGGGATAGTGGGTGCCAGTTCCCAAGCCCGTCTCTGTCTCTGGTTGAGAATGTGACTGCCTACGTTTTTTTTGTTTGTTTGTTTGTTTTTTAAGAATTTATTTATTCATTTGACAGAGAGAGATCACAAGTAGGCAGAGAGGCAGGCAGAGAGAGAGAGAGAGGAGGAAGCAGGCTCCCTGCCCAGCAGAGAGCCCGATGCGGGACTCGATCCCAGGACCCTGAGATCATGACCTGAGCCGAAGGCAGAGGCCCAACCCACTGAGCCACCCAAGCGCCCCAGTGACTGCCTACGTTTTAAGAAGAGGCTAGAATGGCGAGAGGAGGCTCACTGGAGAAGATGGACTTGAAGTCGGCTTAGGACAGGGTGTCTTTCCCCCCACCCTTTTCTTTTCTCCCCCACCCCCAGAACAGGGTATCTTAACTCTTCATCCCATAGCACTCCACTGGCAGGCTGATGAGGCCTGTGGACCGTTTTTCAGGAAAAGATTTTTAAATGTACAAAGTAAAATACATAGGATCACAAAGGAAATTGATTCTGTCAAAGTGTAATTCTCAGTATCAATATTTGTGATCTAGTTAGCATACATTCTTTAATGCATTAAAGAATTCAGTCTATCTGTGTGTGTAGTTACCATAATTTCCAAATAGGATTGTAAATATTTTGAGATCTCTGCTACAGCTCTAATGGGATATGACAACATCTGTGATTTTAATAGGTTTAAAGGTCATAGGAACTGCTGATGCTATTTTGGTTTTCTATATTTACAATTAGCTAGGGGTTAGTGAAAATAAAGGCACCCCCCCGCCCGTCCCGGTTCACAGGCCTCTTGAATTCTGGATAACCCCTGATGGAGGATTGCCAGAATAGGAGGTTACGTAGAGTTTTAGGGAGCAGGGAGAAGGGAAGAGGGCGTTCTGGGTCGGGGGATAACATCAACAGAGAGACCTGAAGTAGGAGGGGTAGGAGACTGAGGGGATGGGGGAGCTGACCCGCTGGGAGTGGGACCCTGAAGTCTGGAGTGAGGCTCATGGGCCTGACTTACTAAGCTTTAGGGGGCTGGCAGAAGAGTTACCTGAAGAGAAAGGTGGGTGACAGCTTCTGTAGTAACCGGGAGTTTTTAACAAATGGTGATAAATACTCTTTCATTTTGGAACAGGTCATTCAGATTCTGGGCGATAAGTCTCCATGCACTTTGGTGGCACAGAAAATTGACCGTATGTCTGTTTCGTTTTATTTTTGAAAGATGGTTTGATTTCCCTGTCTCCCTGTGACCTCTCTTTTTATGTATCTGTTTCTCCAATAAGTGCCGGAGTACCAGGGAGAGCCTGATGAGATTTCCATACAGAAGTGTCAGGAGGCAGCTCGCCAGGTGCTTGCCCCTCATGTGTCCCAAACTTGCTTCTCTGGTCCTGGGGGCTCCTGGGGGCTGTGCCGTCCGGGCTGAGGGAGAGAATAATAGGGTGGGCACAGCTGGTCATAACTTCAAGGACTTACCCAGCCTAGCTAGACTGGGTAAGTTCATGTTAGTCCAGGAATACTACCTTTCTTTCTCAGCCTTTACTGCATAAAGCAATACACACATAGGCATGCACACACATACACATATGCACACACTTGTCTCCGATTTTCAAATGCCTACATTACATTGCCTGCGCTCTCCCCCCAGACAGCTCCCCCTGCACTGACACATCTCTGTGGAATTGGAAAAGAACACTTTCTGGAGAGTCAGGCTGTCTGAGTGTGAATCCCACCTCTCTGGTTGCTGTGCCTAGAGTAAGCTTTACAACCTGCCAAATTTTTGGTATTCCTATCTCTCAAATGAAGATAAGAGATTAGCCAGGGGCTGTTTCCTATAGCTGTTAACTGCTGCAGCTGTAGATCCCAACTAGCTGAGGGCCTGGCCTCAGTCTGGGTGGCCTGGGAATTGGGGTTAGGGGCAGGGCCTACTACTCCTGGTCACAGGTCTCGGGGCTTTGATTCCTTGTCTTACAGGTACAGGGGCCTGTACTGGTGGAGGACACCTGTCTGTGCTTCAATGCCCTCGGAGGCCTCCCTGGCCCCTACATGTGAGTGCTCCCCCACCCCCTTGCGGAGCCCTGGCCACAGAATCACCTGAACTTCAAAATGATTGGTTACCTGATATTGTGGGTCATTCACTATCTTGGTGTCAGTCCCAATATTTCACATGGTCCTGAGGAAGGATTAGGGATGGGGGAGAGGCATACCTTTCTTTCTTTTGTGAAGGGTGAGAATGTGGTTGTGTAAGAGGAGATGGGCCAGGGGAACCCACCTGCTGGAGAGGTACATTCGTGGCAGATCAGTTTCAGGAAAAAGGAAATAAGGAAGGTGAGATCTGAAAATGGATTTCCTTAAAACTATTCAGTGCCCTGGACACCCTCTGATGGCCTTTGTGTATCTCCAGGGTACACGTACCCCACTTTGAATGCTCCTTGCAGGGGCTGGAGGGCATATGGACAAAGTTGCTTCTGCTGGGTGTTGGATACGTTTTTCTTGAACTTCTGGATTACCTATATGTTTGCTAAGGCACCAGCACCCGTATATGTTGCTCCATATCCTCACCAGCACTGAATATTAGGACTTTAATGATTTGCAACGTGGGGAATGTGAAATGTTACCGCATTTGGATTGAATTTGCATTTTCCTTTTTTTTTTCTTTTTAAGATTTTTTTATGTATTTGAGAGAGCTAGAGCACAAGTGGTGGGGTAGGGGGTGCGCAAAGGGAGAGGGAGAAGCAGACTTTCTGCTGAGCAAGGAGTGATGTGGGGCTTGATCCCAGGACCCTGGGACTATGACCTGAGCTGAAGGTAGCTGCTTAACTGATTGAGCCACCTAGGCACCCCCGAATTTGCATTTTTCTGATTACCAATGAGGTTGAGGCCTTCATAGGTTTTATTGATGCTTCTGTGCATTGCCTGTTTACCTCTATCCTTCTTCCTATTGGATTAGTCCTCTTGATTTTGAGTCAAGACATTATTTATCATGCCCCCTGCCTGTCCTGGGGCTCTAATCCTGTGGGTGGGGTAAGAAGGGTGGGAAGGGCACAGACCAGAGAAGATGTTAGGAAGATCCTTCTGTACCTGGTGTCTGACTCATCTTCATTTCTCTTGCAGAAAATGGTTTCTGGAGAAGTTAAAGCCTGAAGGTATTAATCTATTTCATCTCTTAATCTGTTGGGAATGGAAAATCCGGAGGTGGTCCAGGGGAGGGGTTCCAGCTAGTAATCAGGAATCTCCCCACCATGGAGCCTGTGTTCACCTCAGTTTTCGCATCTGTAACCTGTGGCTTGGACTTTCCCTGCACACCCGGCTCCAGGGAGTGCTGAGATGCGGGAAGAGTGGATGGAAAGGGTGGAAGGGACTGTGAGATTGAGAGACACAGGGGCTGCTGTTGATTCCGGCTGAGAGGTTTGGCCCCACTGACTCCTGGCCTGTCCTCACCTCAGCCAGGGCCTGGCCTGGAGGCTTGGGGGACTGGCTGCCTCTCTTGGGGCACTGGCAGTGCATACCCTATCACAGTTGTGGGCCAGAATGTTCCCTCCTTAGGTCCTTCTAAAAACACTTCCAATTATGGAGCATTTCAGACGCATACAGTAGTAGAATAGAATAACGAGCTCCATATCCCCATCATCCAATTTCCAGGGTGTTAACCTGGATAAGGTATAAACCTATCTGATGACATGTATAAGCTCCCCCAAATCTGGTGGCTCCCCCTCCAGGGCCTCAGGGCTGGGGAGTGAGGCTGGGAACTGAGCTGCGCAGAGATCACTGCACTCCCCCTTCCCTCCCACCGCAGGTCTCTACCAGCTCCTGGCTGGTTTCCATGACAAGTCTGCCTATGCGCTCTGCACTTTCGCACTCAGCACCGGGAACCCCAGCGAGCCTGTTCTCCTGTTTAGGGGCCGAACCTCGGTGCGTATTCACGCTACTTTCCCCGTGGGCCGCCAGAGGGCGCTGTGGCTCGAGCCGATGGCCCAGAGTCTAAGGCAGGAGGGTGGTGGGAAGGGCTCATGGCCAGTTAATTTCCCACAGCTTTGCCCAGACATGCCCCTGGGTCTCACAACTAGGAGTGCTGTCAATCCTGAAATCTCTTTGACCTCTGAGGCTCGTGTTTTAGGGATACACAGGGGCTCATGGCCTTTGAGGCCTGCACGGGGTCCCCTCCTAAGAAGCAGATGCGCAAGCTGAAGGTGACATGGACAGCCCAGATTTCTTCCAGTTCTGTCCCTTTCCAAGTGCTGAGGCTATGGCTTCCCTTGAACATCTCACATCCTTTCCAACTTCACATGTTCCTGTGGAATCTTACTTTTCCCCAGCTGCCCTTCAACACAGCCACGCCAGCCTATCAGACCCTTGGGTTTAGCTGCTTCTCATAGGGTACAAACCACCCTCGGAGCTGACCTCCCCCGCCAGCGCAGCCATTCCCTCCTTGTGTCGGGACGGTGCCTTCTGGCCCATCACTCCTCTGCCAATGCCTTCTGCTTGTGATAAAATCCAGAGTAGCCCACAGAGCCCTTCCCCAGAGGCTCCTTTGGGGGATGCCCACAGACATTTCGTGATGCCCTGCCTTGTTAATTTTTTTTTAATAGTTGCTAAAAAAAAACATAAAAATTACCATCTCCGCCGTTTTTAGGTGTTTGGTACAGTGGTATTAACTCTGTGCATTGCTGTGCCATAGATCTTGAACTTTTCATCCTGCAAAATTGAAACTGTACCCATTGAACAAAAACTCCCCCTTCCCCCTCCCCACCAACCCCCCTGGCAACTGCTCTTCCACTCTTGTTTCTAAGAGTTTGGCAACTTCTGACCCGTTATATAAGTGGAATCCTGCATACAGTGTTTGTCTTTTTGTGGCTGGCTTATTTCTTAGCATAATGCCCTCCAAGGATCATTTGTGTGGCGGCAAGTGACAGAATTCCTCCTTTATTTAATTAACATGTAATGTATTATTTGCCCCAGGGGTACAGGTCTGAATCGTCAGGCTTACACATTCACAGCACTCACCATAGCACATACCCTCCCCAATATCCATCACCCAGCCATCCTGTCCCTCCCCTCCCACCCCCCAACAACCCTCAGTTTGTTTTGTGAGATTAAGAGTCTCTTCTGATTTGTCTCCCTCCCGATCCCATCTTGTTTCATTTTTCTTCCCCTACCCCCCAAACCCCCCACCCGGCCTCTCAAATTCTTCATATCCGAGAGAATTCCTCCTTTTTATTGCAGCTGAATAATATCCATTGTGGGTATTTGCACATTTGTTTTGTCCGTTTATCTGTCGATGGGCACTTAGACTTCTTCCATGTTTGGCTGCTGTAAATAATGTTGCTACTAACACAGATGTTCCAATATCTGTTGAGATCTTGTGTTTGGTTCTTTGGGATATTTACGCAGAACCAGGATGGCTGGATCGTAATTGCCGGGTTACATTTTTAAAATTAATTCTAGTTGTCTGCCCCTATCACAGAAATGTTCTTTAAAAAATCAGAAATGTGAACAAGCATAGTCCCTGCTGATGGGGCGCAGTCACTGGGGTGACCCACGATTGGGGTCCCCGCTATTCCCGATTGTCTCCCCCACTTCAAGCACCTTGTTGCTTGCAGGCTTCTATGTTACCTGAGGTGGCTTTGTTTCTCCTTGTTTCGTTCTCACTCAAACTTTCCAGACCCAGTCGTGTTGTCCTTTCAACAACGCATATGCCGAGCCAGTCCCCATCTTGGGTCCCAACACCAGCTGTGTCCTCGACCTGGAATGTTTTTGCCCATCACTTTACATGGCCACATTGTCTGCTCCCTGAGCTCCCCATCTAGGCCCCTCCATCCTGTTATCCTTGAGCCCAGCTCCCTGTTTGTTCCTTCTAAGGCACTTTGCATTTTGTAATCATTCATTTGTTTACTGGTGTAAAGCCTGTTTTGCTTAAGCATCCATTTGACGAGGGCAAGGCTGGGTCTGCTATGGCTCCAGCGCTGAGAACACTACCGGCCCCACTGTAGATGTTCAAAAACCATTTGTGCAAGGTTCACAGTGGCTCAGGAATGGGTCTTGGACCCGTAGCTCCCCACCAGCACTGGTGGAATCTGCCTTTGGTCTGAAAAACTTAGCCATTATGTGGCTAATCCCCACTTTCTACCATTTTCCTCATATTTTTTTTATTTCTCAAGAGATTTTATTTATTTATTTGAGAGAGAGCAGCTGCACAGGAGCAGAGGGAGGGGGAAAAGCAGACTCCCTGTTGAGACATGGGGCTCAAACTGGGACCCTGGGATCATGACCTGAGCTGAAGGCAGATGCTTAACCAGCTGAGCCACCCAGGCCCCCCTCCCTTGTATTTATTAATTTACTAATTTTTAATCCTCATGGCAACATGACATGGTGCTGAATTAAATCAATTCTCTTTGTAACATTTTTCTATTGGAATTTGCCTGTTGTAGTCAAGAGTTACTGAGCTCATTTAGGTATTGAACAATGTGCAAAGCAATTTCTGTTTCTTCATTCAATTGTTAGAGCCTCCTTTGTAGTTTGAGAAATGCAGCAATTTATTTCACTTAACGTAATGAAAATGAGTAGCAGTCCTAGGGCTTGTCTGCATAGTCCAGGATCTCATACCTTCCTAGTCAGAGAAAATGTTTCCTGTCAGTTTTTCCATTGACGCTCTTCAGTGAGGTCACAGTTTGTCAGAGCTGTAGAGAGAGAGGGAGAGTGGCCCCAAAGGTATCAGTGGGCTGATAAGGTTTGTGGTTCCTATGTGTGTGTGTGTGTGTGTGTGTGTGTGTGTGTGAAGGGAGAGTGGTCCCATATGTACTTATGGGATTCATAATACAAATTATGTATTCAGCAAACATTTGCAGGTACCACAGACTTCTTGAAGCCATATTTTTTTTTAATAAGTACTTTTTTTAAAAAAAGATTTTATTTGTTTGACACAGAGAGAGAGATCATAAGTAGGCAGAGAGGCAGGCAGAGAGAGAGGGGGAAACTGGCTCCCGGCTGAGCAGAGAGCTCCAATACGGGGCTCGATCCCAGGACCCTGAGACCATGACCTGAGCCGAAGGCAGAGGCTTAACCCACTGAGCCACCGAGGTGCCCTAAAGCCAATTATTTTGAATAAATGGGACTTAACCAAGTACATAAACTAGTCAGACTCAAACTGGCTACCCTTCCCTTGCTAGGGCATCTCCTCTGTGCCCAGTGATACACCTATCCCCTCTTTTCCCTGGCAGGGTCAGATCGTGGCGCCCCGAGGCTGCCGAGACTTTGGCTGGGATCCCTGCTTTCAGCCTGATGGATATGAGCAGACGTAAGGAGCCCTATTTCCTTCCGGGGATGTGGGGTTGGAATGGCCACAGTCCGGGTTGGGCTGGCACCCTGCCCCAGGGCAGGCATGCGGACATGGGCCGGCCGGCTGTCGGCTGCTGCCCCAGCTGAAGGCAGTTCTGCTGGGCTGGACGCGAGGAATCTGAGTGGGCTGATCTCCAGGGTAGGAGGCAGCCAGGCGGCGCCGGGAGTTCTGGGCCCTCGGGCTGCAGCTCCCCGCAGAGCCGCTGGGTGACTTGAGCGCCTTCCCCCTCTACCCTTGGCTTGTCCTATATGAACCTGACAGTTTGGTGGGATCATCTGACTTTCCCATGGAGTTTGGAAAAATGTTAATATTTCCAGCCTTTGGGGGGGCATGAAACCCCCACGGCGCCAAGTATTCTCATTACTTGCCCCTGACCCCTCGCACCCCCCCACCCCATTTGCAGTGGACATGTTGACCGTTATTGGAATCAAGTGTGCTAGGCTAAAGGGGCCCTTAGGGAGTGTGGCCTGAAGCCTCCCAGTAGCCAGACAGGGCTGAGGACGATATGAAACAGCACCATCCAAGAATGCAAGATAGAGAAATGCTCTTTTTCCACTGTTCGAGCCAACTTGTGGCTATCTAGTATGACTTCGGAACTGAAAATAGTCTTAGTCAACGACGGTTAATTTCCATGTACATGGCCACTTGCGGCTAGTGGCCACAGCATGGACAGCACGGATCTGCAGCACCCAGGTGGGGTGTGGGTCCTCACTGGAGCCCTGACTCGGAGGAGAGGCCACTAGCCAGCTGTCCCATGCCACCCCCACAGTACACGAGAGGAGACTCTCGTGTTTGCTCTGTCAGGCCCCACTGCTTCCTGTCAACAGATGACAAAGCTGATCAAACACGCAGCTCATCCCCCTGTCCCCGGCTTCCCCTAGCGACTTTTGGACACACTCGGGCGAGTCTGACATCCTTCCACATTCGTTAATATGGGTTTCCATTTCCAGGGGAATTTAAAACTCTCTGGTTTTTTAAAAATTAACTCTGGCTGCTGGGAGCTGGTGCCCCCATCACCCTTTCCTGGCGACTCCTTGAGCTCTGGGCTCCAGGATGGGTGAGGGATGCGTACCCCCAAATCTGGGCTCCTCTGAGCTGCTGTTGTCACCCCTTAGGTATGCAGAGATGCCCAAAGCTGAGAAGAACACCATCTCCCATCGCTTCCGGGCCTTGCTTGAGCTGCAGAAATACCTCGGCAGCCTCGATGCCCCAGTAGTTGGTGATGATCGCCCTGGCCGGGGAACTGGGGAAGGCTAGCCTGCCGCCTCCACCATCAGATAGGCAGCCCTCCAAGTACTGCCTTCCTGGTCTCCACTTCCTAGAGGGGGTTGAGACAACCTCACCAGCCCTGTTTGGAGGAGCAGCTGGCTCTGCTTGGAGGAACTTGGGGCCCTTGGGGATTCAGTGGTCCCTCCTACAGCCTCCTGGCCTGGGATCCTGAAAGGACTTGGATGTTAAAACTGGCCATGGTGGGTCCGAGGGCTTGGGCAGAACCACACACAAATCGCCCTCGACATTTTTGAAGTGGCAGAAATAAAAATACTGGAAGGCACTTGCCTCCAGAATAAACTGGATATATCAGCTTTGAAACCTACCCCGGGCAGTTGTCCGTCCCCTGAATCTCTTTTGGCAGGAGCAGGAGACCTCGAAGCTCGGGGGGCAAGGGTGGGACGAGGGTAGCAGCTGTAGTTGTTCACATGACCGTGCTCACTGGAGTATCGAATCTTTCCTCACGTCCTTCAAGTCTCAGCTTGTGAGCTGACCTTGTCCATGCCAGACCCATGCTGCCCACCACCCAGGGAGGGAGGCCACCCCCCAGCTGGCCTCCGTGGTGTTTGCCAGGTTGCGGGGTGGGCAGTGCAGATGCAGAGTGCTTCAGCTGTATTTCAGTGTAACATCAGAGCAACTAAAGTGTTGGGGCGGGGTTTTGTTTTTGTTTCGTTTTGTTTTTTTTCTTTTTTGAGAGACAGAATGAGTGGCAGGGAAGGATAGAGGGAGAGAAAGAATCTCAAGCAGGTGCCACGCCCAATTCTGCGCTGGGCGTGGGGTTTGATCTCAGAGCCCTGAGATTATGACCTGAGCCGAAATCAAGAGTTGGACGCCTAACCGACTGAGCTTACAGGTGCCCCTAAAATGTTGGTTCTTTTTTTTTTTTTTTTTTTTTTTAAGATTTTATTTATTTATTTGACAGAGATCACAAGTAGGCAGAGAGGGAGAAAGGGAAGCAGGCTCCCTGCTGAGCAGGGAACCCAATGCGGGGCTCGATCCCAGGACCCTGCAACCATGACCTGAGCTGAAGGCAGAGGCTTTAACCCACTGAGCCACCCAGGCGCTCCCCTAAAATGTTGGTTCTTAATGATGATGCCAGGTCCGTTTTTATGGCAGGGACAGGGCATGGAGTCTCCACCCGAGTTGAGAGGACACAACATGGTTCAGCCTGGGACCTCCAGGCCCCGCAGGAAGCCTGCCTCAGCTGCCCCAGGTCCTCACAGGCCCTAGGGAAGCCAGTCCTGGGAGGGACTTGAGGGGCCTGGGGCGGCTCCCTTTCGTTTCCCACAGGTGTTTCTTTGGTAAGGAGGAGGGGCCCACCCCAAGGATATTCAGAAAAGCCTGTTGTGTGCAATGGGAGTGGAGGGAGCGTAATGCTGGGGGGTCACTCCCAGGCTTATTTCTGGACTGCTAGGCAGGTCTGGAGAGTGTCACTTCCGTTGCTGTTCCTCAGTCCTGGCAGCATGGCCCAGGGCCCGCATTTAACTGTTGTTTCCTCCCCTAAGGTGCATCAGTGTGTGTGGGTGAGGACAAAACATTGTTTCTTTGCTCCCCACTTGCCCGTGAGGCTTGGCTGGGTTGTTGCCCCAGGAAGGGCCAGCAGCCCAGCCGCCTCTGAGTCGTTGTCTCCTTGGTGCAGAGTGCTGTCTGGCTGGGGCTCAGATGTGCAGTGCTTGGGGCTTGTCTGCTCCCCGCCTGGTAATTCTGGATACGGCCCTACCTGGAGGGAACACGCAGGCCACTGGGGAGGGGACCCCAAAGGACCACATGCCACCTGGATGGGGTGGGTGCAAGGAGCTTCGGGCTAGGCAACCCTCTCTGGGGGATGGCCCAGGCCCACAGGACACCATCCCCCTTTGTTAACCTTTAGCTAGCCATCCCTCCAATGAATGGGCTCCCACCCACGCCCACTTGCCCGGGAGCAGAGCTGCACAGCGGGTGGAGGAGGGGTCTTGGTTGTGCCCCGGTCTCTACTCCCCGATCCATGCACCAGTGTATATACCTTTTCTACCCGGCTGGCAGGCCAGCCGGCCTGTGTTGCCGGTTACAAATGGGCGATGCCAGCTCCCCTTGGGGCTGCTTTTCCCAGATGACCAAGGGCATTGAGCATTCCTACTGTCCTGTGACTGTTGGGCCACCCCCCCCACCCCAGGTTTGCCTCTTTTATTGGAGTTGGAGTCATCGACTTTGTGGTGGTGGTTGGTTAGCAGGAATCCTTCGCATATCTAGAGAGGAGGCCTTTTCAGTTGAGAGGTAGAGCAGGTCTTCTCTCACCTGCTCCCTTGGGTCTGTGGTTTACTCGGCAAGCCAAAGTGCTGTAAGGAATGTCATGGGATGTCTGGGGGCCAGAGGCTCTACCACTGCTGGGGCTCCCAGATAACGCACAGGCGGCGCTTCCAAGTCCCAGATCCAGATTCCCCACTGCGTGCCGTGGGGCCTCTGTCCAGGTACCAAGTGACCAAGCCAGGAACACAGACAGCCCCTTCTCCCCTCCACCAGACCAATCCCCACATCCTGCTGTCGGGGTCTTCCACTGCTCTTCATCCCCACTATCATTGTCCTGGTGCGGGGTACAGCCCCTGCCCCACCCCCAGAGGGCATCCCTCACAACGGCGGCTCTGACCTCCATGAGCCTGGTTTTCAGTCTGGTGGGCTGCTCTGCAGCTGCCTCTGGGAGCCCAGGCCCAGGCCACCAGGCCCACCCATCTTTCCTCCACCATTGTGGCTCACTACTGGCCCCAAGCCCTCTCCTCCAGGCCCTTGCATATGCCATCCCCCCCCACAACACCTCCCCTGCGGTTGCCTGGCAACACAGCAGCGCCAGGGCCTCCTGGATCTTCCACAGGCCCCTGTTGGGCCAGCATCCGCTGTGTGGGGTTGGAGGGGACAGCCGGTGGCCCTCAGCAAACATGGGTCCCTTTTCCTTCCCCCCTCCCCTTTACATCAAACTTTTTATTCTCCAGTGGCCCTCAGGCTGTGGCAGGGCGGGACAGCCGAGATGGAAGCTAGAAACAGGAGCTTTATTCTCTGGTGTGCATATAGCAAGTTCCTTACACAATCAAGGAAATGGTTTCTTTCAGACATCTGACTCTTTTATCAAAAGAAAATCCATCCTGCGTAGGCCTACTCTGGACAGAAGTTGCCCTGAGCAGTGTCACTGACCCAAGCGAAAGGCTAATGGGGACAGGGATGGGCCCGCACTGTGGAACGACCACCCCCCCATGCCTAGATGTCCTAGGCCTGATGGGACAGCAGGAAGGGGGTGCAGCACAGAACCACGCCCCAAAAGACCGCATCCCTCTCCCCACGGGGCCACAGACTCAGTCTGGGAAGAGCCAGAGGGATAGTGAGAGGGATATGGCGCGGGCCTGCTGGTCAGGGCCTCAGTCAGTGCTCGGCATCCATGGCATCCAGATACTTGGCTTCAATGATTCGGGGCAGCAGGTTGTAGCTGGGCAGAGGGAGAAGAGACCTCAAGGTGAGCACTGGGTCAGAGAGCAAAAGGGGGGGGGCATCTGTCCCTGCCCCGCCCCAGGGGTAGACTACCTGCCGCCCCCAGCCCCCACCTGGCTGCCCTTACCGGATGGGGATCATGACAATCATGATGAGGGGGAAGATCATCTTCATGTAGGGCAGGTTGCTCATGCCGAAGGCACAGAGCAGCAGCAGCTGCAGGACCTGCAGGCCGGTGAAGTAGTGGATCTTCCTCTGGGGCACCCTCCGGATATAGTGGGTGGGCGGGTACGAGGTCTGTGGGCAGCAAGGACCCGCTGTGGGCAGGCCTGGAGCCCGTACGCCCACCCTGCCCCTCGCCCTTGGGGCTGAGGCTCACCTGGTCCTTAAGCAGCAGGGCCACGCGCTCGAAGAGTTGGTTGCCATCGATGGAGGTGAGCGCGATGTAGAGGAAGAGGCCGTAGAGCACGGGCTTGGGGATCCACTGCAGCGGGAAGGGAAGCAGCAGGAGGGAGAAGCCCACCAGGATGCTGGCGCCCAGGGTGGTCAGCCGTGTCTCCTTCACGTTCACAATTCTGCACGGCCACAGGGCACCGGGTCATCTCTGGGCCCTAGTCCCCGGAGCCGCATCCCTCCCCGGGTCCCCATGGCCCAGGGTTACCCCCACTTCAGGGCCCACATGACTCGCCTCAGGTCTTAAGGGACCCGGCCCCCACTCACGTCTCATAAATGTGCCCATTCTCCACACGCTCCTCCACCAAAGCCAGGGCCCGCACATGCAGCGGGGAGTGGGGGTAGGCAGCGTGGATCCAGGGCAGCCCGAACAAAGACAGCCCGCTGTTGATGATGGCGATGAGCAGGAGGTCCCAGTGGTAGGCAGTGCCCTTCACCAGCCTGCAGTGGATGGTGGGGGCACATGTGGCTGGATCCCTGTGGCCCCAGGGAGGATCGGGCACATGCTCAGCCCTCCCAGCCCCGCTCCGCAAACCTGTTCTCCGGGGCATTGGCCAAGGCAGCCACCAAGTTCTGCTCGATGAAGAAGAGCAAGGAGAGCAGGAAGCCCAGGCCCATGGCACTGGCGATGGCCCCCAAGGACAGGGAGTGCATCTCAGCCGTCTCAAAGAGGCTTTTGTTGGGGTTGTAGCGGAATTGGCTCACTGCAGCAGATACAGGCCCCCTGCTCAAGCCTGTGGCCCCCAGGGACCAACCTCACCTCACTGCACCCCCTGCCAAACCCCAACTCACTTTTGATTTCCCGGAAGCCGTAGGAGCAGATGAGGGAGAAGGTGAGCACCGAGATGGGCAAGGCACAGTCTGACAGGATCTCCCGCATGCAGGGGTGTAGGTAGGGGCTGGGGACATGGGTGGGGAGTGTCAGTGCAGCCTGGGAGCTGGCGCCTTCTTTCCCTCACCCGCAGGGCCCCCCTCACCTCTTCTTGAACTGGTAGAGGGTGTAGCTCAGCCACAGCGTGCCCAGCATAATGAGGAGGCTGAGCACCGCGGTCTCCCGGCCCGGGGGGTCAGCCTGGTGGCTCCCGGGGGTCGGCTGTAGCGGGCTGGTCGGGAGGCTGGTGTTGAGGGCCGTGTGGAGGCTGGTGTTGAGGTCGGTGCTGAGGCCCAGCAGGCTCACCAGGGAAGTGCTGTCTGTGTTGTAGTTCCCAAAGTCATGGTGGTAGTAGTACTTCTGAAAGACTGTGGATATAGGCCAGCAGGCTTCAGCGGTCTGAGCTCTGGGAAGATGAGGCCCAGCTCTCTTCTGGATATGGGGGAGAAAGAGCTTCTGGGGGGATGGGGAAAGGGAGGGGCTGCCTTTCTGTCAGACAGGAGGACCCCACTGACCTGCTTGTCCACC